TCTGTCCTGTGTCTCTTGGTTCCACTGCTGCCGTCTCTCTGCTGGGTGTCTGCTGGCCATCTCTGCCAAGGAGGTCTGGCACAGGGATTTGGGTCCAAGGACATGGTCCACTCTACCTCCTCCCCCCCACCTCTGGCTCTTCTCTCTTGATGGCAGTGGGACCCTCTCCTCCTGCCTCTAGGAAGGCTCATTTTAAGCCTAGCAGAATGACCAACTAACCAGTCCCCACATTAGAGTTCCATACACTTTACTCACAGTAATCTGGTGAAAGTCACAGAGACTGGCTAGAAAAGCCATACCAAGTAATTCACTGCACAACATAGTTTTAAACAAAATGCACACTGCGGTTAGTTGAATTACATTAATGTTTTCCTATCAGTATTATACACCCTGGAAAGTTAGTTAACAAAATGAAAATCTCAATGATTTTGTTTCATTTAATATTCCTATATTAAAAAGTTTATTATTCAATTTCTGTGAAAATACATTGTAGAAGATTTTCTGTAAGTATATAAAAATCCAAAATTCTATTAAGATTCTCATTAGTATACAATCAAAACTAAACATTTTAAACAGGCTAGCCTCATTTTACGTGGGAAGAAGCTACGAAAAGAGATAATTGTACTGTTAAATCAGGTGGACTACTCATTATTGACTTCCTATAAAAAATGGTGAATTAGATATAAGGCTCTGAGGAGAAGCTCACAAAATAATAAAAATCACAATGTCTTAGAATTTCACTTAATGAAGCTTATGTTTGATTAGCAAGCTGTTTTAATTGAAGTCTAACAGATATAGAAATTCCATTTTTCCTAAGGCAGACATGCATACATGATAAAAAAATAGGGAAGGAAACAAATTTTAGATTTTTAACAGTTGTGCTTTTTACTTGAGCCTAGCAGTCGACTTTTTTTTCTTTCTTTCACAGCCTGGCGTTCATTTGATTCATTAACTTCTCCAGTTTGATTGCTAGGGCCATGTTACCTTTAATCTTCAGCTTTCCCGACATGAATGCCATGGTTGGTTTTAGTTTCCCTACAATGAGAAAACAAGGAGGACAAGCATCTATTAGGGATGTGCTGCTTCAAGAACATACTTCATAACAAGAATCTCGAGCTCTATACACCTCGGAAACACAGACATTTCTAGGACAGCATTTTATATCAGTGTCTTTGGAATCCCAATTCCTAGGCTTAGGGATTAACAATATCATTAAAAATAAGAGAGAACATAAAAACAACCATCAGCAAAAGTTTACTGCAAAAAGCTCAAGATGCAACATTTATATACTTAGTTACAGTGCAGTAAAGAATACGTATTATTAGTTTATCACAATTTATTTGAGGACTATCTATTTTAGTTA